CCGTCAGGGTCACCACTGGGGCAGCATCTTCTCGGGGGCGGCCCAACGGAGGGTGATGACCAGTCGGCTACGCGCAAGAGGGACCTTCCACCAGAGTGACCTTTTTGGTGCGGGCTCAGTGGGGTGGCCCCAGCATTGGCTCGCGCGCGCAGATTTTGGCCCTTCGCGGTCCCCGAAAGCCGCGCACCAAAGGTCACTCTTGCCTAGGGTCACTCCTGCGCGGAGTCGAATTAGGGGTGGTGGTTGGTATCATGGCTCTAGGCCTCCTGGAAGAGGTCAGAGTAACTGGGGTCGGAGGATCGCGCCGCATCGCCGATGCATCGGCGACGCATCGGCGATGCATTGGCGATGTACCGGCGACGCCAGCGATGCATCGACGACGTCGGCGCGGAGAAAATCGGGCTCCGCATCGAGCCGCAGCGCGACCCTCCGACCCCATCCTACTCGGACCCCTATCTGGGAGGCCTCTTTAGGCGGGGGCCGTGGCGTCTCCTCAGACTTCATGGCGCATCTTCTTGTTCAAATGCGTCCCTGGGAACGGCCCGTTCCCCCGAGCGGCCCCGGCCCGCTTCCCCCTCCTCTCGGCCGTCGCCTCGTCGTCCTCTCCTCCTCTCTTTGCAGGGTGGCACACTTCGCTTCACGGCAGCCCCTCTTCGCTCCCTCGCCAGCGCAGTGACCCTGCCTGGCCGCCGACGCAAACAGCTTCAGTGCGTCCCCCGGCCCCCCCCCCCGGGCCGCGCACGTGGGCGCCGCCCCCTCGGCCCTCGCCCCCCCCCCCCCGTTCGGGGACGCCACCGGAGGAGCATGCGGCAGGTTCGCGTCGTGTCGACCAGCGTTTCGGGCGGGCATGTCCCTGTACAGGAAGAATGTCCAAGTATACCACCACCTCCTCCTCCTCCTCCTCCTCCTCCTCAGTCAAGAATTGTCTGGTGACGATTTTTCGTGCTCCTGTCACCCTACAAGAGGTATGTTTGGAATATTCTCTAATCTACCCACTCAAAGTCCACCTGCAGGCGGACATGCCCGACCTAAGACCCGCGGCGACCTCGCCGCCAGCGTTCAACGTTGAACGCCGACGACCCAGAATCGGTCGATGTTGAACGATCTGACGCGTCAGAAACGGCCGATCGTTCAGGAGTGGGCGAGCCCCGCGGTGTCAGAAACGAACGCTGGGGGTCGGGACGACACGAACCCGCCGTACTCATGGAAAGCACGGCAACACCAGTGACGGACCTTCAGATCCTGGCGTTGCACATTTTTTTTCACATTTGGTGTTTTCGCGTTATTTTTGGGTCCCGGGACCCTCACATATCGGTCCAGCTCGAAGAAAGATGGGGTGTGGGGCTTTGGTCGTGATTTTTGTGATGTCGCATTTTTTATGGCTCCGTCAGATCTCAGGAGATGTCTAGGCCTCCCAGACGGGGTCCGAGTAGATGGGCTCGGAGTATTGCGCCGCATCGCCGATGCATCGCCGACGCATCGCCGATAAATTGCCAATGCGTCGTCGATGCATCAGCGACGTTTGTAATGCGTCCGCGACATCGGCATGGAGAAAGCTGGTCTCCACATCGAGCCGCCTTGCCGATGCATCGGCGGTGCGGCAGGATCCTTGGACCCCGTCTACATGGGCTCCATCTGGAGGAGGAGGAGGAGGAGGAGGATGAGGAGGAGGAGGAGGAGGAAGAGGAGGAGGACGAGGAGGAGGAGGAGGAGGACGACGAGGAGGAGGAGGAGGAGGGGGAGGAGGAGGAGGGGAGGGGAGGAGGAGGAGGAGGAGGGGGAAGGAGGAGGAGGAGGAGCAGGAGGAGGAGGCACCCGGGCTGCGGCCCTTCTCGTCCCGCCCAGCTGGGCACGGCTCTGCTCGCAGTAGAGCAGGATGGACGCTCGCCCGCTCGATCGCCCCGTTCGCGGCCGCGCCTCCCCTGTCCTCGCCCCCCTCGGATGCCAGATCCGCTGTGCTTTCAGCATTGCAGCATCGGGGCTGGGATATTTGCTTGCAGGGCATAGCGCGTCGCCAGGGGCAGGGACCGGATGTCGCCACCTGCCGGTGTCGCCCCAGTCGAATTCGATACTAGGGATGGGCAAGCTTCTCAAGGGCACCCGTGCATCTTTGCCTCCTCGGTCCATCCTTAACCCCTTTCGATTGCCAGCCCCGCTTGAAATGCTTCGACATGAGCGTTGAAGAAGGAGGAGGAGGAGGAGGAGGAGGAAGAGGAGGAGGAGGAGGGGGTACGACGACGACGACGACGACGACGGCGAGGAGGAGGAGGAGGAGGAGAGAGGAGGAGGAGAAGGGAAGGAGAGGGGGACGACGGCGACGACAATGCTGACGAGGGTCCCCTTCGTCTCCTCCTCCTCCTCCTTCTCCTCCTCCTCCTCCTCCTCCGCATCCCCATCGCGCCTTCTTGCTCTCAGTTCTGACTGCAGGCGGACGACGAGCCTCCACGAGCCCGCCGTCGGAGCCCGCCGGCGGCGGCCGCCGCCACCGGCCCGCCCCCAGGCCCCGCCGCCGCGGTGGGCCTGGGCGTCGCCTCCGTCGGCGCGCTGTCCCTGGCGCTGCGGCGTCTGAAGGACCCCGCGGGGGGTGGCTCGGCAGCAGATCGCGGGAGCCCGGCGTGCCCTGTGGGGGCCCCCAGACAGTCTGTGGTGACCACGCCGCGCGGTGAGTCGGTGGGGATTCGGGGTCACCGCACGGTCTTGGGACTCGAGTCCCTCTCCGAGGATGTCTCGGGCGACAGGGGCCTCCAGGGTCCCAAGGCCCTGCGGTGACGGACCGTGGGGTGAGGTCTTTCGGGGTTCCCAGGTCACCGCACGGCCTGCCACCGCACCGTTTCGGGACTCCAGAATACCCTCTCAGTTCTGCCTTCAGCGCAGTTTAGCGTCGACTAGCGTCTGGGAGTGGCTGAGACAGCGCAGACTTAGCGTCGCTTGGCGTCGATTCAGCGTCGGGGGGTGGGGGGGGGCGCTCGTCGGCGACGTTTTCGTCGCTTCTCGGCGGTTTTCGGGCCTCGGGAGGCGTTCCAGCGGCTGCGCCTCGCCGAGGGCGCTCCAGGAGTGCCTGAGGTCGTCCCGCACGGCCGCCGGAGACCGACTCATGACTCGAAAGCCGAGCCGGCGGCGCGCCGAGGAGGGGGGAGTGAGCAGGAGAGGGCCCTCTCGGAAGGCGGCGGGGCTCCTCGGAAGCGCTCCGGCCTTCCGAGAAGTTCTCTGTGTCTTCAGGGGGCCGATGGACTTCCCACCCCGATGTCCCCTTCCCCCCCGGGCTCACCGCCGAGGAGAGGGCGCTCGGCCCCGCGCGAGTCGGGCCTCTCTCCGGTGTCGCCGCTGCAGCCGCCGCCCCGGCCGCTGCCGTCGCCGCCGTGGCTCCAGGACTCCCCGGTGGGGCCAGCGCATGCGGGGTCGGAGCATCACGCCGCAGCGCCGCTGCACTGGCGGTGCGGCTCGATGCGGAGCCCGATTTTCTCTCCACGCCGACGGCGCCGATGCAATGCCGACGTCCTCGATGCATCGCCGATGCATTGCCGATTTCCTTCACCGAGCGCGTTCCACTACTCGCAAAGTGCCTAATCGCAAACGTCCGAAAAACAGATGTTTGGCTCCATGTAGTATATCGTAGATCCCCCGCGGCGGATCCAGGATATTTGCGAGTAGTTACTTTGCGAGTAGTAGAACGTGCTTGTCTATCACTGCCGATGTATCGACGATGCGGCGTGATCCTCCGACCCCACCTGCTCGGACCCCTTCTGGGAGGCCTCCGAGTGGCCAGGTTCGCCTCCGGCCGCAGGGTCCCATGCAGGCGTCCGAGGGCCTGAGGGGGCCCGCTGGGCTGGCCTGGGGGGGGGGGGGTCGGGGCATGGTCAGGGGGGGAGGCTCAGGGGTTCGAGGCTACTTTATCTAACGGGAGGAAAATCCCGGGGAGGCTTGTTCAAAGGGGCTTGTCCATGGGGGTTGTCTGGATCCCGGCTGGGTTGTTCAAGGGGCTTTCTGGGGCAGGCTGTCTTGTCGTCACCAATCAGCATGGGCTGTCCAGGCTGTCCAGGAGCTTGCCCTGAGATTTTATGGATTGGATCTCTTTTCCCACTGAACATCGTATCGAGGCTTCCAGGCGTCCTCGTCGCTTCTCGGCGGCTTCCCCGCACCGCCGAGATGGCTCCGGGGGCGCCCAGGGCGCCCCGAACGTCCGCGCGAGGCCCGAGCTGTGACGCGCAAGCCCACCACGCAGGGGCAGCGCCTCGGCCCCCCCTTCGCCCGTGCCTCGCCCACGGGGGCCCCGGCAGCCCCACCCGCGCCCGGGGAGCCTGCGGAGCTGCTGCCGGGGGCCCCTCGCCGATGGATCTGCGGTGCCTCGCCGACTCCGGCTCGATGCCCCCCCCCTCCCGGGGGAGCCGCTCCCCCGCTCACCACCCACCAAACCACCCCAACCCAACCCGAAGGCTCAGATTTACCCTCGATTTCCAGTGGGGGGGGGTCGGGAAACATCGAAAAAACACGTGTGGAACCCTTACCCCCCCCAACCCGAAATTCGGGTCTTCGGGTTGGGTTGGGGTGGTCTGGTAGGTAGTCACCCGCCCCCGTGTTCCCCGCGCTGCTCCCCCCGCCCCACCGGCGTGCTCTCGCAGGGTCGCACGCCGTCTCGCCCCACTTCGCCGTCGCCCGGGCCTGCAGAGCTCGGCGCGCGGGCCGGTTGTCTGCCCGCGCCCAGGGACCCCGGCCGAATCGGCGTCGCTCTCTCTCTCACTCTCTCTCTCTCTCTCACTTTCTCCGCCTCCCTCTTCCTCTCCCTCTCTCCCCTCTTCCCCTCCCCCTCCCCTTCCCTCCCTCTCCTTCGTCTCCCTCCCTCTTCTTCTTTTCACTCTCTCTCTCTCTCTTTCTTCCTCTCTCTCTCTCTCTCTCTCTCTTTCTTTCTACCTTCACACACATGCAATGTGCCTATTTGTCAATCTCCCTGTCTCTTTCTCTCTCTCGTGGTACTCCCACTCTTCGCTTTGCTCCTCTTTGTTTGTGTGTATGTGTCTCTCCCTCTCTACCCTTTTTAGATTATCCGCAACATTGCTATCATTGCTCGTCTCTCTCTCCCTATGTTTTTTCCTCTATCTCTCTCTCTCTCGCTCTGTTTCTCTTTCTCTCTGCCGCTCTCTCTCTCTCTTTCACTCTCTGTATCTCTCTGTCTCCCCCCCTGTCTCCCCCCCTCTCTCTGTCTCTTCCTCCCTCTCTCTCTCTCTCCCTCTCGCAACATTTTGGTTTTGCTCTCCCACCCTCTTCCTCGCCCCGTCTTGTCTCCGTCTTGCCCTCTCCCTCTCTGCCTCTCCCCTCTCCCTCTCGCCACCCTCTCTCCATCTCCTGTGCGCCTCTATCCCTCTCCCTGGATCCCCGACTCCGTGTCGTGTCTCTCTCTGCTCTTCATCTCTCTCTCTCTCGCTCTCCTCTCTCTGTCTCTATGTCTTGATCTGTTTTTTTTCACTCTCTCTCTCTCTCTCTTCCTTTCCTTCTGTCTATAGTGCTTGTTCATGTAGTAGAAAGACGTGCATGCCTCACTCCTCTTCTGAAAGGTGTGGTTCCGCACCCCGAAGCGCCCGTACGCCGACGACAGCGTGGGCGCCAGCTACGACGCTTGGACGCGGGACGGCGTCCTGGAGCACTACTGGGGCGCCCACGGGGGCCGGGGTCTGCTGCTTCGATCGAGCTGCTCGCGCTGGTCCCCGCACGCGGGGGTTCGATGTATACTGCCAACCCGCATAATAAGGATGGGCAACCTTCCCAAGGGTGCCCTTGCATCATTGCCTCCTCGGTCCATCCTTGGCCACTTTCGTTTGCCGCGCTCTGCTCGAAAAGCTTCGAAATGGGCGTCCAAGGCCCTTACATCCTTATCGCGCATCCTTGTGATACGGGCCGACTGTACACCACGTCGTTTGGTCGGTCAATGAGCTGAGGATCTCGGCGAGGGAGTTCGGCGTACGGACGCTCTAGCGTCCCACAGGGTGGGAGGCTGGGGCGCGTCTGTACTCCGAAGTCCTTTGCCGACAAGCGGACTTAGTGTATACGCCAGTCGTTGAAAGTTGGTCTTTCTGGATTCCCAGATCTCAATCTACGTCAAGCGCCTTCCTACTTCAAGAGCCGACTTCTTACTGAGTGGGCTTAAAGGGGCCGGGTAGTGGAACCCGCCCCGGGCGGTTCCCCCAGGATCCGCCCCGCGGTTCCCTCAGTCCCCTGGGAGCTTTAGCTTTAGCTTTAGCTTTAGCTTTAGCTTAGCTTTAGCTTAGCTTTAGCTTAGCTTTAACTTAGCTGTACCTTTAGCTTAGCTTAGCTTTAGCTTAGCTTTAGCTTTAGCTTTAGCTTTAGCTTAGCTTTACCTTAGCTTTAGCTTTAGCTTAGCTTTACCTTAGCTTTAGCTTTAGCTTAGCTTTACCTTAGCTTCAGCTTAGTTATAGCTTAGCTTTAGCTTAGCTTTAGCTTAGCTTTAGCTTAGCTTCAACTTAACTCCAGCTTAGCTTTAGCTTAGCTTTATCTTAGCTTGAGCTTAGCTTGAGCTTAGCTTGATCTTTGCTTTAGCTTAGCTTTAGCTTAGCTTTAGCTTAGCTTTAGCTTAGCTTTAGCTTAGCTTTAGCTTAGCTTTAGCTTAGCTTTAGCTTAGCTTCACCTTAGCTTTAGCTTAGCTTTAGCTTAGCTTCATTGTTACTACTAATGCTGCTTTCCTAGGGGCTCCAACTCCTAGGTCGGGTCGCACTGGGATAGAGTTTTGTCGTTGTTCTTTGTTACTCTCTGGGCGGCCCCGAACCCGATCTACTTTTATCTTGAAGAGGAATAACGCCATACACATGAACTTTTGGCGCTCCGCGCGGATTTCTTGGATTCGTTCTGGATCCGCGCGGAAAGATGTAGTCTACGGTTTTCGGTCGCGACTTACCACGACATGGTATTTTTTCGCACCGTCGGATCTCAGGGCCTGCCCATTTGTCGACCAAACCCCAGCCCGACAGAGGATCGACACTACGGGACGTTCGCCTTTGGAAGGGAGGTCTGCATCTAGTTCTTGTCGGGCATACCTACGGCTATTAGGCCAGTCCTTTTTGGCGCGATGTCAACATCCTTGTTCACCAGGTCAGGGCCTCAATTCCCATTCTGCAGCAATCGCCCGTTATCAGCCAGCACGTGTGACTCTCCGTTGAATATTTCGGCTCGCTTAAGTCGGTGGGAGTCGAACGACTTCCTTGGGGAGTCAGTTGAGGATGCCGCCAGTCCGGATCCTCAGGAGTGCGGGTGGAGGAATGATGACCAGGGAATAGACAGAGGGTGATGTCGCACAGGGCACAGACGTTGCCGCTGTCGGGCGCCCTGTTCGCTTCCCCGTCGTCGTCCTCGTCTCCTCCTCCTCCTTCTCCTCCTCCTCCTCCTCCTCCTCCTCCTCCTCCTCCTCCTCCTGCTCGTCTGCAGCGTCGTCGCCTTGCGCGCGCCCGCCCGTGAGGGCGGCCAGGCGTGGCCATTAGAGGACTGTCTTCCTTGCGGCCTGGGCCAGGGGCTCCGGCTCGCAGGCCGCAGAGGGTTGAAGCGAGTGCCCGTCACGCTGGCGAACATCACAGCGGGGCGGCAGCTTTTTTTCGTCCTGTCCGAGTGGCTTCCGTAGCAGCATTCGCACGTGCACGTTCTGTTTGCAAGCCTACTTTGCCTCCCATTTTACTCTGTGCGCTGCTTTCTGCTAATTCTCTCTGTCGTCCGTACTTTGTTTCCCATGCTGCGCTGCTCTCCCTCTCGCTTGCTCTCCTGCCTTCCCCAGTGTTGCTCTCTGCTTGGTCTGCTCTGCTGCTGGGTCCATCGTCACCGTTCCTCTTATCCTCCCTGCTGCTTGCTTCCCCTTGCCGTTGCCGCGGATGCCCATTCGTCTTACTGGGCACGTTGAGAGTGAGGCTGTGCCCCCAGAGTTCTTCACCCCAATGGTATTCATACCGGCAGCGAGGTGAAGGGAAGGGCGGTCGCGCTTACTCACGACCTAGCTGAGCATTGTCTCTAGCGTGGGGGTTGGGAGGTGAGCACATCCACATGGGCTCATACACTCCCATGCACGAGCAGAAGGGCTACCGCAAGGAGGATAGATGATGCCGATTGTTCAGCCTGATTCTCTCCCACGGCTCTTTCGATGGGGCTCCCTGGCCTGGTTCACTGGTATTCCTCCTGTGTTCATCCGTCCTCGTTCGCACATTCCTTCACCTCAACCTTCGCTGGCTTTCCATCCCTACTCCTGCTCTTTTCTCATCCTTCATCCCCTTTTTTTGGTTGTTGTTCTTCTTTGTTTCTTTCTTTCTCCTCCCAGCACCCCTCGCCTTCGCTCTCGCCCTCGCTGTCTCCTTTTCCCTCTCGGTCTCTCCGTCTCTCCCTCTGTCCGTACCGCCAGCTGAGCGCATCAGAGACCCCGGCTCGACTGTGCGGACATGGGCGCGCCAGCTGCCCGCGTGAGGATCGTAAGTACCCTCGCTTCCAGTGCAGAGTGCCGCGCTGGAGGCCAGCCTGAACCACCGCGTGAGGTCGCTTATCATGCCATCTTCCGCAAAACCTGTTTTTTTCCGCCGCTCGCTTCTCCTCTCCTCCTCGTGCTGCCTCGCTCTACCTCTCGCTGCCTCGGTGCCTTGCCATTCTCACTCTTGCCGCGCTTCCCCGCCCTCCTCCTCGTCCTCCTCCTCCTCCGCCTGTTCCTGTTCCTCTTCCTGTTCCTGTTCCTGTTCCTGTTCCTGTTCCTGTTCCTGTTCCTGTTCCTGTTCCTCCTCCTCCTCCTCCTCCTCCTCCTCCTCCTCCTCCTCCTCCTCCTCCTCCCCCTCCTCCCCCTCGATATTTAGGATGGGCACCCTTCTCAAGGGCACCCTTACATCCTTGCCTCCTCGGTCCATCCTTAACCCCTTTCGATTGCCAGCCCCGCTCGAAATGTTTCGACATGAGCGTTGAATGCTGAAGGAGGAGGATGAGGACGAGGAGGAGGAAGAGGAGGAGGGGGTGCGACGACGACGGCGACGAGGAGAAGGAGGAGGAGGAGAAGGAGGGGGCGACGACGGTGACGACGCGAGGATAATGATGACGAGGGTCCTCCTCCTCCTCCTCCTCCTCCTCCTCCTCCTCCTCCTCCTCCTCCTCCTCCTCCTCCTCCTCCTCCTCCCCGCCTCCTCCTCCTCCTCCTCCTCCTCTTCCTCCTCCGCCTGGGCTCCGCGCCACCTCGTCGTGGTCCACATCCCGCGGGCCCCTTCAGCTGGCCGGCCCACAGCGGCCGTGCGCTGCGCTTGGCGCACCAGGCCCTTGTCGCCCAGGGGGCGCACCTGCCAGGGCCGCCTGCGATCCGAATCGATGCGATTCGCTTCGCGAACTGGGCCCGCGATTCCGATTCGATTCGATGTGGCTGGATTCACCAGCGTCGGCCGGGCGCGGCGAATCGATTTCGATACGATTCGGGACACACGTCGCAGGCGGAGCAATGCAGGGGGAAACACACACACGGACACACTGAATCGTCGATTCACAGGGAGATATGGGAAGAGATGGGAAGTGGGGGGAAACGAAAACCCGCGAACATTTGGGAAACTACTGGGACTCCTGGGATTTGTTTTGTCTAATTATTTGTGTGTCCCTGCGCCCCTGTATACAAGGCGTCGCCTCATCACCAACGTCCTACAGAACCCGGGGTGGGATCGGCTCTCCGCTTCTTTCCCCCCTCACACCCGGGGCCAGCCCTGGGCGGTCCGGCCCCCGCCCCTGCCGCACCGCCGCCGCCCACGGGAGTGTGCGGGCATCTTTGGCGGCGCGCCGAGGCGGGGCAAGCGAACGGGGGCAGGCCTTCGTAGACTCAATGCACCATCGAGGATGGAAGAACCCCTAACCCTGATAACACGATGAAGACGCAGCCTCACTGAGGTCCCCGTCTTTGCATTAGGGATCATAAATGTGTGCTGCTTGATTCGATACATCTGCAGAAAAGACCGCCTATCCCTACTGTTCCTGGTCCTCCTAAATTAGGTCGCCTCCCAAAGGATTACGGGTCCTTTATGCGTAATCAATGTAGGCCTTCCTGATGGGGTTCGAGTGGATGGGATCGGAGGATCGCGCCGCATCGCCGATGCGACTTGATGTGGAGCCCGATTTCTCCACACCGACGTCGCCAGTGCATCGCCGGTGCATCGGTGATGCATCGACGATGCGGCGCGATCCTCCGACCCCATCTACTCTGACCCAGAGTTAAGAAAGCGCAAACATGGATTATTGCGCGTGGATTAGCGACGGGTCCCGTTTCCATGCCAAATCGGCGCGCTCGGCCGCCAAATCAGGTCACTGGCGCCACGCTTCGGGAATTATGCTAACCGTTCTGAGGATCTCGCGTCCACGCGCCAGATCCACGGATCCCGAATCCGTGTGAGCGTGTGCCAGACACCAGGCGGCGGGTCGTCAGAGAAGGCTCAAAAAACTTCTCCTCAGAAGGCCGGATGCCTTCTCAGCCTGCTGGGAAGGCCCGCCCCTTCTGACTTCCCCCCAGGGCGCGCCGCCGAGTGACGTGCAGCTGCTCCTGGAGCGGGCACCGGTTGGCCACGCTGGAGGTCGTACCGTCCTTCTCCTCCAGCCGGGGGTCCACGAAACCCTCGGGTGCCAGCGCTCCCCAGCCGCGACGGCTTCAGATCCTGCTGTCTCGGGAGGGTGGCCCCGCACCCGTGCCAGGCCGCCTGCTCGGCAGGCACCTGCGTGATTCAGGAGGGGAAAGAACACACAGACACAATTAATCGGCGATTCCCAGAAAATATAGGAATATATGGGAAGTGGGGGGGAAGACAAAAACCCAGAAAATATGTGAACATACGGGGAATATTTTTATTTGTGTGTATTTATTTGTGTGTCCCAGTTCCCCTTCAGTGATCTCAGGCCTCTTGATGCCGTGGGTCGGCCTGTCCTCGGTCCGGCCGCGGTGCCAGGTGACGCCCTCTGCCATGCCCTCGTCGGGCAGGGCGTTCTCAAGGCTCCAGGGTCGGGGCTTTGCATGCTCCTGGTCGGCGTGGCTGGACGCCGCCTGCTGGTTGCTTCGCGTGTCTCGGCTCTGTAATTTTGTGTTTTGGGGGACGCTCGGAGGGTTTCCGCCTCCAGCTCTAGCAGGCTGCTTCTGTGGCCGTCCAAGGTGTCTGCGTCAGAAGCCAGAAGCATTCGGCCAGCCATACTTCGAGCTGCCGTGGTCAGTCCGGTCACCATCCCGCTCCCCATTTTGCTCTGAGGTACAGTCGAAGGGCTTGGCATCCTGCGCGATGACCTCGAGCTCCTCGTTCCTACCAGGCTTGGTAGGGCCCTGCTGGCTTCCTTCCAACGAGTCCATGCCAAGCCTGAGGAAGCTTTCTGTGCCAAGGCGCGTGACGTGGCGTATGACATTTTAAGTGACATCAACTTCGCTGACATTCTCCGTTTTGGTCCTGTCCATCTGGCCCTTTCTGCGATTCCATCGGACGGCCTGGGGGAGGCCGGTCATTTGCACACCAGCACCATCTACCTGTGATGTGCGCAACGCCTCACTGTGGAGCTGGGACGCAAAAGAGCTCGCTGGGGCAGGATATGCGTCTCGAAAGTGCCATGTCGCTTGAGTCCAAAAACGGCACCCTGCCTCTCGTTTCTTCCTGCCTTGTGCCTCCTCCCCTTTCCCTCCTCTCTCTTTTCGCTCCCTCCTTCCTCGGCCTCCTCCACCACCGCTGTCTCTCCCTTCCTCCTTCCTGGGCTTACTCCCCGCCAGTCTCTCTCTCTCTCTCTCCCTTTCCCTCTCTGTGCTTTCTTCAGTCCTGGCGTCCGGCAGGACCCCTTCCTGCTGGCGCTGCTTCGAGCGACGCTGAGGCCGCTGGAGAACTTCAAGCGGGCCAAGATCACCTTCACGGAGGAGATGATCGAGTTCAGCCGGGCCACCGCCCCGAAGAAGATCCTCGACGTGGGCTGCGGGATCGGGGGGACCTCCAGGATCCTGGCCAAGAAGTTCCCCGATGCACAGGTCACGGGGATAACTCTGTCGCCCGAGCAGGTCCAGCGCGCCACTCAGCTGGCGAAGGACGCGGGCATTAGCAACGCGGAGTTCAAGGTGGTGAATGCACTGGCGATGGACTTCCCCGACAACACGTTCGACCTGGTTTGGGGCTGCGAGTCGGGCGAGCACATGCCAGACAAGAAAAAGTACATCGAGGAGATGGCGCGGGTGCTGGCTCCTGGGGGCAGGATGGCCGTTGCGACGTGGTGCGAGCGAGATCCGACGCCGCCATTCTCGCGGCAGGAGCGCCTGGATCTCGACTTCGTGTACGCGGAGTGGAGCCACCCCTACTTCATCTCCCTGGGCAGGTACAAGGAGCACATGCTCGGTACGGACGTGCTGGTGGATGTGGAGACTCAGGACTGGACGGAGCAGACACTGCCCTCCTGGAGACACTCCATCTGGGTAGGAGTCTGGTCACCTTGGTACTGGCTGAAGCAATGTTTGCAGAGGCCAGCGGCATTTCCCGGATTTTTGAGGGAGGTGTACACCCTTGAGAAGTACCACCAGGGCATGAAATCTGGACTTCTTGTTTACGGCATGATGAGGGCAACGAAGAAATAGTGATCGCTGCAATGGTCGGTGGGAATTCTAGCACTGATTATCGAAGGCGCATGCGGCGAGTCACCGCCGCCCCCTGCCTTTTGGAAACTCCCGCGTCGTGAAATGTCGAGCGACAGTGCGGCCACGCTGGTGGACTGCGTGTGTCCTCCTCCGCTGGGGAAACCACGGGGGCACCATTGGGGAGGGCCCTCTGGAGCCGTCTTGGGGCGGTCTTGGGGCTTTTCCTATCCTTTTGGGCCTTCTCGGGGGGGCCGCCGGGAGCTGTCTCGGGCCATCTTGATGCCCCGTGGGCCGTCTTGGGGCGCTCTTGGGCCCTCTGGCGCCTTCGGAGGCCGTCTTAGGTACGGGGCCTTTCTGCGCCGTCTTTGGGACCCCTGGGGGCCCGTTAGGGCCTCCTTCGGGCTCTTGGACGCTCTTGAGATGAAAAAGGCTTTCGGCCTATCCTTCCACCGTACCTGGATTGAGGGCCTGCCTCTTGGAGGCCATGTGGGGTCTCTTGGTGGGCCTCTTGGGGTTCTCTTTGGGGGGAGACTCTGATGGCCGCTTCGTGGCGTACCAGCGGTCTCGGGGGCCACCGTCTTGTGCCTGATCTTGATGGCCTCTTGGATTGTCTTATATGCTCTTAAGTCCCGAAAGGCGAGCGTCCAAACCATATACGAAATCAATGCTTTGCAATGGTTTTGGCTTCTTGTGCGGGCCCCAATGCCATCAAAGACGGCCCAAGAGATCCCCAATAAGGCTCCAGGGCGGTCCCCTGAGAATATCTAAGGGCATGTGGGAATTGTGGACCACGAGCAACGCTCCCGTGGCCGCCAGAACAGTCGCGCGGAACACAGGAAATCACGCGAGTTGGGTGTCTGGGCTCTTCGTATGCAATACTTAGGATTCAAGGGGTCTTGTGACGCTCCACTCAGTGCCTGCGGCACGGTGGCAGGTATGGTTTTAAAAGGTGCAGGCCTTAGAATAGTGCTTTGTGCCCTGTGATCGCCTGCGCGGCGATTCAGGCGGCCACAGAAAGTGCAGCGCTCGTAACGGCAGCGCGGCTTGGCCCTTCCTGACGTTGTCCGCGCCCCTCGCCCACCGATTTTCGATCCTCCTCTTGCGGGGGGCCGGGGAATCGGCAGTCCGGTGGTCCTCTCCCCTTCTTCCCCGAAGCCTCTTGGGCGGGGCCAAAGCGTTCTGGAACGCTCCCAGAGCTTTCTGGAGCGCTTCGGAATGGCCGCGGCGACGTTACATCTTGCAGAGCCGCTAGACCTCGAAGATCCCCGATTTGTCCCGGCCTGAATTTGTGCCCGACCTGGCTTCCTGCGGCGGTGGATATGCACGGATCTCGTCGCCCTATGCTCCTCTCACTTCCTCCCTCCCTCCCACCCCTTGCCCCTTTCCTCCCTCCCGCCTCCGTCCTTCCTCTTGTCTTCTGCCTTCTTCACCCCGAGATGGCCCCAAGAGCCTTCCAGAGGCCTCCGACGCGCCTCAAAGAGTCCCGAGGTCCCAAGAAGCCTCTCAGACTTCAAGAGGCCGCGGGAGACCTCGAAGACATCCCCACAAGCACCCAGCAAGCGTCTGGTCCACAACCAAGGCACGGGAAAGAGATGATGATGTACTGATGTCTTGATGCCTCTGTTGATGTTAATGTTGGTCGGGCGAGGAAAAGAGCGGGGACGAGGAGGTGGACGAACAGGGAACCGGGGGAGGCGAAAAGTTATGATAGTGCAACGATGGAGTGACGTTGACGACGATGTTGGCAAGCGAAGAAAGAACGGGGACGACGAGGGCGAGGAGGGAATCTGGGGAAACGAAAGACGATGCTGCTGATGATGATGCTAATAATGGTGATGATGATGATGATGATGATGATGTTGATGATGATGCTGATGACACTGATGATGCTGCTGCTGCTGCTGATGATGATGATGATGATGATGATGATGATGATGATGATGATGATGATGATGATGATGATGATAAGGATGATGCTACTGCTGATGATGATGCGGATACTGATGATGATTATGGTGGCGTGCATGATGATGATGCTGATGCTGATGCTGATGCTGATGATGCTGATGCTGATGCTGCTGCTGCTTCTGATGATGATGATTCTGAAATTGGTGAATCTGATTTTGATGTTGTTTTTGATGAAGATGATGACGACGATGATGAGGATGGGGGTCAGGAGGGAAGTTGGAAGAGAAGGAGGAGGACGTCGACCAACAGCAGCAGGGTGACGACGGGAAAGCAGGAGGCTTGCCCTCCTGCTTCCTCCGATCTCCGTTCTCTCTCCTCCGGGCGAGCCCTCACTCCTTTGGTTGTCTTGGTGTGCCCTCATTCTTCATGGCTGCCGGTGCTCAGTGAATCTGCAGTCGACCCGCGATTCTGCTACGTCTACTTCATCGCCCATGGCTTACCACATTTGCTGTGTTTGCACTTGGCTAGAACCTAAGCGCGCGAATCGCGAGCGCGTGGTTCGTGTAACTGTGTATATGTGTTTTTTTATTTGTACATGCTTTTCTTTTCTGTACATGTAGATTCACATGTATATAAGTGTGCACTTGCATGTCTGCTTATGTGTGTATATATGTATGTATGTATGTATGCATGCATGCATGCATGTATGCATGCATGTATGTATATTTGCATGTATGTAGGTTTACATGTTTGCATGTATGCATGTATGTATGTATGTATGTATGTATGTATGTATGTATGTCTGTTGTATGTATGTACGCAAATATGTATATATGCATGCATGCATGCCTGTATGTATGTATGCACATATGTATGTTTGTATGCATGTATGTATGTATGTATGTTTGCATGTTTGCATGTATGTATGTATGTATGTATGTATGTAGGTAGGTAGGTATGTAGGTAGGTAGGTAGGTAGGTAGGTAGGTAGGTAGGTATGTATGCATGTATGTAGGTATGTATGTATGTACACACAAACATTTATGCATTTCTGCATATATATACATATGTACATGTATGCTACCCAGATATGCATGCATTTTTTCCCCTTCCTCCCTCCCTCCATTTCTCCTCCTCGCCTTCCATTCCAGCGGGCATCGTGGCCCAACGCTTCGGGCATTCGCCTGGCGCGATTTTCGGTCTAGATTTTCTCGTCGCCAGTGCTCGCCCATGTTTGTTATCGCTTTGTTTTCTGTGAGTGCAGGGAGCGAGGCTCGGCCGCCGAGTTCAGCCGATGTGGTCGCAGGCGAGCAGAGGCGGGAGGCAGGGAATCGACGGGGGGGAGGAGGAAGGCATGCACGGGGAGGGGAGGAGAGGAGGTGGAAGTGTGGTGCTGGTGGTGGTGCTGGTGGTGATGAGGCGGAGGGAGAGGAGGGCGGCAAACGACGGCGGCGAGCCCAGGGGGGAAATCAGAGGGGGCGGGCCGTCTCAGAAGGCTCGGAAGGCCTCTGGCTTTCTGAGAAGTTGTCGAAGCCTTTTCTGGAGCGCTTCAGAGAAGCCCCGCCGCCTTTGGAAAGGCCTGCCCCCTCTTGCTCTCCCACCGGGCTCGCCGTCAAAAGGAGGAGAGAGACGACGAATGGTCCATGTCCGAGGAGGAGAGGCATCGGGAGGTGGGCGGGAAAGGGACGGGAAAGGAAGGAGAGCAGGTTGGTGAGGCAGCCAGGGGCGGGGAGGAGCGGGAACGGAGCTGGTTGGAATGAGGCAGGATGGGGCGTGATGGTGTGGAGGAGAGGGCGAACAGAGGGGGCGGCAAGCTGGGTGCGCTCGCGCCACGTCTGACGTCCTGCCCCTCCCGTCCATCCCCTCCCACCGAGGAGGGCGGGAGCCGTCGGACGGGCCGCGGGAGGCAGAGGAGGACGGGGGCTGTGAGGGGCGGGAGGAGCTAGAAGTGGGGGCCGGAGCTCGAGGGGAGCACGAGGGTGGTCCGTCAGGGTCTCTCTCTTTTGGCCTCCGCCCCCTGCTGCTCCCCGCCGTGCCCGCGCTGCCGCTCCTGAGCTCGGGAGCCCGTGCCCGCGGTGGTGCCCTCGTTCAGCCCTGGTGTGCCTGCGATGAGCTTATTTTTCTCGCCCTCCCGACTTCCTCTCGGCACTGCTCGGACGTGTGTACCTTTCCTTCGGCGAGGCCAGCGCCAGAAATCCTGGATCGTCTAGGAGCATCTTGTATCATCCAGCGAAACCGAACGCGCACGACACCGAACAATGCACGGGGAGTGGACGTCCGAGCGATGGCAAGTCTTGCCATGAGCAGATCCTGCCGCCTCCGCTGCCCTTTCCTCGCCACCCGCCCGCTGTCACCATGTCGCCATGTCTGAGCAGGTCCTTCCGTCCTTCTTCCTCCTCCCGTCCTGCCTGCTGTCGCCACCATTTCCTCCCTCGATCAGGTCCTCCATCTCCCCCCTTCTCCCTCCTCCCTCCTCCCCTCCCTCCTCCTCCGTGGGCTTCCCCTCCCTCCCTTTCCCCCTTCCCATCCTTCTGCTGAAAGTATGGCTTGCTGATCAGGTCACTTTCGCAACGCTGATGCTCTTGCAGTGTTTTCGGGCGAGTCACTCTTTGCACCTCTTCTTATCTCCAGTGCCTCAGATCTATACGTCTTCTTGACGGCGATGCCAATGACAAAGCAGAGAAGACTGATGATCTTGGTTTACACCGCCGCTGCTGTCCGATCCAAATGCTTCAGGGGGACACGGGCCCGTGCGCGAGTGCGGTGGCGGAAGTGATAGTGAGGGCGGCAGGCAAGAGGGCTCGGCGCGAGCATGCCGCTTCCACTGCCTCCCCTCCTGCTCCGGACGCTTCGGTTCGGCTCGAGCCTGTCCTCCTCCCCCCCCTCCTCCCCTTCTGCCCTTCCCCCTCGACCCCCCCTGTCTCGGCGCTCAGGGACGGGGCCCTGAGGACGAGAGCCCCAAACAGTGAAGGTTCAAGTGATCGTTTTCTTGTTCGCTGTTTTGCCGATCGGCGCGGGCCCTCGCACCCCCCCTCCCCCCCCTCCCGTGCGAGGCACTGCGGCGCCATCCATCCACGCCCCGCGCTGGGCCG